AGTGTTTTTGGGGCTCTTCGTACTTTAAGTATAGCATAAACAGCGTCAGTTATTTCGAATTGAGCTGGTGCTCGATTTTGAAGAACGCACTTCATTCTACAAAACAAGACGCTTCCCAGGATTCTACGATATTCCTTCCAAATATTACAGGATAGACGAAAAGAGAAAAAACGGTAACGCACAGACACTCCGGTAGCAGAGTTAGGCGTTTTTCATACCAACATTCTTCTGGCAATAGAACTTCAATGGATATGTAAATCAAAAAAAAAGATCAGTTTTATTGGCTGCGTCAAAAACTGTTATTTTGTCACCGTTGGTCAAGTTGTTGTCTCATTCGTGATAATCCCAGGTGACTAGGCACTGATGAAGTAGAGCAGAGCAATATTATCATTATTACTCTTTTACTTTTTGTTTTGTTGCTTCTCTTTTTCTCTACGACTGCTTACTAGCTATATTTTTAACTAAGTTGTGGTTAGATATTTTATTTATTATAGCAGCTGATTGAACGTTGTTATTATTACATGTATAAACGCATCTTTTATATATATAAAAGTACAAACGCAATTTAGAAAAAAAACAATTTTAATAATAACTGAAAAGTTACATAATCTACGACGTTGCAATTAAAAGTAAGACTAATTGTTCTTCTCAAAAATTGTTTCACAAAATGTTCTAAGAAAACACATGCGTATCTAAAAATATCACTCTTTAACGGTAAAGTCACTCCGAAAGCATTCCGAATGAGAGTCTCTTTCACCCCTATCCATGTCCGATAATATCTAAAGTTATATGTGAGAGAAAGTTAAAAAAGTATATCATAACTATATAATGTTAATTAATTGTATTTTATTAAAACAATGTTGTATTCGTTAATATTAGTATATAGATTTTGATACATAATAGAAAAATCAAACTGGATGAGTGCTGTCAATAACCAGCATCAAATATATTTTGAGTGACTGGTTTTGGTACATCTTTTGAGTACCGTTGAAGTACCATTTGTTCATAATTATCGGTTTTTAATATCAGGCATCCAACTGAGTCTAGATCAATATTTTTGAGATGTCGAAGAAATTCTCCTACTGTGTGTTCAGCGGTCATTTCTTCTGGTTGACCACCCTTGCGTGTTGACATAATTCCACCAATTTTCCATGTACCATCGGATTCTTTTGTTATTTCACTCCATAAACGATTGCATATACCAACAGACAATCTATATATATCTTTTCTACCATCATTAGCAGCAGATTCAATATTAAATGTATAGTTTTTCCAGTTACATCCATCTGACAATTTTTCAAATTTATCTTTCATTTTCCAATCGCCTTCGATGCCGGTGAAATTAGCTTGATTTCGTTTTAATTCTGTTGGAATTTTATTTAATTTTCTGATCGTCATTTCTCCATCGCCATCAAAATGTACCACAGGAAAGAGTGGTGTTGGATATGATCCCTGTAAATGAAATGCCGTTCCTATCGATTGATCATTGTGAAATATGTGCAGTTTTAGGTCGTTATTATTCAAATCTAATAATAATCCAATTTTATCACCATCTTTTATTTTAGGACCAAATCCGAATGCTAATCCACTACTACCATCGGATAAGTTACCAGGTCCACCATACATTAACCCTTTAAGACCATAACCTGGTGCAAATTTACTTTCTGTTGTTACACCAATGAATGCACTATCCACTTTATTAAATTTAAACTCCCAATAATGTTGTCCATCCACAGCTCCACCATCTTTATCTTTAAATAGAGCGTTAACAGGCGTACCACTTTGACTACCATTAACCTTCACCATATGACCATTAGAAGAAATAGAACTCGAATCTTCACATAACCATGTATCCATATTTGCAAACAAAAACTGAAAAGAGTAATTGGACTTCGTTTACATTCAAAACATTTTCCCTAGCTCTGATCATCAAATACTGTGGAAAGATTCTCCGCGTATGGAATAAAATTCATCTCACGAAAACTTGAAGCATTCTAGGATAGACTTCTCAATTTGTTCGCGTATGAGGAGTATTTTACTCGGTTACATTTTAAAGGACATCCAATGTGCTTCTAGCGTAATAAGTCCGTTTCTTCGTGTGTGTGTCATTTACAGTGTCCTCTTGACGTTAACATTTCTTTCAGTGGATAGACCTTTTATTGTATTCGTCAGAGCCTTCATTAGAAAGAGGTAACAATTTTGAGAAACATGGTGATAACCTTGAGATACTGATATAGCTATACGTCTCTTACTTTCAAGTATTGGTAATTACCATTTTTTTCGAAATTTCATAAAATAATCACTAAGAAAGAGAATAAAGACAAACTAACAAAGAAAGCAGTGATCAAGTTTCTTTTTTAATATTTATACAAGATTCATGACACTTGATATTTTATTTCGTTTAAAGTTCATAAAACTTCTAGCAGGTGTTTGAATTTTCAAGAGTCTTTAACTGAAAATGCGTGAAATGTAATCAAAACATTTTTTGCTATAATTGACTGTAGTCAATGGAAAAAGATGTTTCACGATCTAGTTCCTTAGTCTAAAGAGTTTCCCTAGCTCACCTAACCTCGATAAAATTCAGCCTCAATTTTTTGGGAGGATTTCAAAGCATCCGAAACCGATTGATATACATAGCTCTTGATCAGTTTATAGAGAAATGGTTCTTTACGAAACTAAGGCTTGTTGGGGTTTTACATTTCTAAGCGTACTATCAGATCGTTCTTTTTTTACTTATTGCTACCTGGTTTTGCTAGAAAAGAATCAGTCTTACGTTTTAATAATGTTATTTATGGTAACCGGTTGGAGAATGTGCTTAGGTCGATGTATACAGTTATAAACTGAAAAGAGAAAGAGAAAAAAAACGTTTTTATAGAGCAAAAAACGATTAAAGCGAAAACTATATAATTCTGTTCTTCTACCACTTATAATAATGAAGTGAAATAAATAAGAACGAAATTGTTTGAAAGCAGTAAAAAAGACAAAAAATAGCATAAACACGTAAAGTCAATTTTGCTTTGCATCTATTTTTTTATTCTTCTTTTCTGCTTGAACAAAAGCATTCGTGCTCGACACATGTATTTCTTGTTAATCTTGTCCCGTTGGTGCATCTTTCTGCCTCGAGCTCGCAGCAACCTTACTGATCATAAAGTTACTCCACCCAAAAATTTATAATCCTCTCTAGTCAGAAAAAGACTAATGGAGTTTATTGGAGGTAATTAATAGAAAAGGAAGAAAAAACAGCTATAACACGAAACTGATTATTGAATAAATAAGTTTCAATGCAGCACTGCAAAAATCAGTGTGACATTCTTCTTGGAAAAAAGCTTACATCCTCGTAGTACTATTGATGTAGCTGAAACACCAAAAGGAAATTAAGAACCAACTTTGAAAAAGTTTTTAAGAGAAAGGGACGTTCCGCGGGCGCACCAATGCCATAACATGTCAAAAGTTAAATTTATTTCTAACTGCTTCCATTCGATTCTTTGTACCAAATTATGTATGGAAAATAGATTTCAAATTTTAGCAAGTAATTTACGTTGAGATACGCAATTTTGAATACGAACGGGTCGTAGATCGTTGGCAGAAGCCAATATACTGGTCTGTAACCCACCAATATATCGGGCACTGTAGCTCCCTACACCGACCTTTTTTTGCATCCCAATATATTGAGACTAACTGACTGATACAGTAGGCAAAACCTAATCTATTCTCTTAAATAGTTTCCAATTACAGATCATTCCATTTATTTTGAAACGATTTGCATAGACTTTTTCTTCGTCAGTGACTTATGCAGACCTCAAGATTTATATATTAGTCTATCCTGTTAATACTGCTGTCATAATACTTATATTTTAGATAAGCGAATACCTCGTAATAAAATATCTGATAATATTGAAGGGATATCTGTCATGTACTTTTTAACGAAAAAATATTCATATTCTCTGATACAACGAGAATTATCTGAAATGAATCTAAATGTATCAAAAAAGTATCGTTAAGTGTATTGTTATAAGATTTATTTAGTAAGAAGAAAAGCGGAAAAAGGATTACGTTAAAAATAAATATAAGAACAGCACAAAAAGAAGAGGAGAAACCAATGACATCATTTTGTCTGTTCATGAAGAAAAAAGTTGCTAGTGTACAATAACATTAAAGATAAACACACACACATACACATTAGGTCTGACTAATAACAGACACTGAAAGACGAAAAGCAAATGAATAAGTAAATATTAGTAACATAAAGAAAATGAAAAAATAAAATAAAATAAAAAAGAGAGAAAGAAAATGATAGATTAGTGTACAAGTAAAAGGAGAGAGTCGCGAACATTGTAACATGTAGGTAGTAACTAGATGATGTAGTTTACAAGCTTTAGAGTTATCTAGATTCTCAAATTACTTCAAAAGAGTAAATTTGCAAGTCTAAAGGAGACGGTGGGAGCTAGAGATGGCCAGTCAGGAAGAAGTATATTTCGTTGATTAGTCGTATTGCTAGCGTCAATTATGTTTATTGAACAAACCAAAAACCAACATTTTATCATCGACATCATAGAGTAATAACTGAATATTGCTAAATAAATTATCGCGATTTTTGCCAAAAAATGAAAATCAACGAAAATTTCGAAATACACAGTTGTAAGCCTTGTTTTCTTGTCCGTTGGTCAGTGAACAAATGTTATATTGTGATTTCTTCTGAATTCACCTTTTAATATCCAAAGATGCAAATAACTGATACACTCACACTTTATTATAAAAAA